TCCTGTCTCCTATACGTTCCTACACACAGAGATCACTGTCCCCTGTCTCCTATACGTTCCTACACACAGAGATCACTGTCCCCTGTCTCCTATACGTTCCTACACACAGAGATCACTGCCTCCTGTCTCCTATACGTTCCTACACACAGAGATCACTGCCTCCTGTCTCCTATACGTTCCTACACACAGAGATCACTGCCTCCTGTCTCCTATACGTTCCTACACACAGAGATCACTGTCCCGTCTCCTATACGTTCCTACACACAGAGATCACTGTCCCCTATCTCCTATACGTTCCTACACACAGAGATCACTGCCTCCTGTCTCCTATACGTTCCTACACACAGAGATCACAGCCTCCTGTCTCCTATACGTTCCTACACACAGAGATCACTGCCTCCTGTCTCCTATACGTTCCTACACACAGAGATCACTGCCTCCTGTCTCCTATACGTTCCTACACACAGAGATCACTGTCCCGTCTCCTATACGTTCCTACACACAGAGATCACTGTCCCCTATCTCCTATACGTTCCTACACACAGAGATCACTGCCTCCTGTCTCCTATACGTTCCTACACACAGAGATCACAGCCTCCTGTCTCCTATACGTTCCTACACACAGAGATCACTGTCCCCTGTCTCCTATACGGTCCTACACACAGAGATCACTGCCTCCTGTCTCCTATACGGTCCTACACACAGAGATCACTGTCCCCTGTCTCCTATACGTTCCTACACACAGAGATCACTGTCCCCTGTCTCCTATACGTTCCTACACACAGAGATCACTGCCTCCTGTCTCCTATACGTTCCTACACACAGAGATCACTGCCTCCTGTCTCCTATACGTTCCTACACACAGAGATCACTGCCTCCTGTCTCCTATACGTTCCTACACACAGAGATCACTGTCCCGTCTCCTATACGTTCCTACACACAGAGATCACTGTCCCCTTTCTCCTATACGTTCCTACACACAGAGATCACTGCCTCCTGTCTCCTATACGTTCCTACACACAGAGATCACAGCCTCCTGTCTCCTATACGTTCCTACACACAGAGATCACTGCCTCCTGTCTCCTATACGTTCCTACACACAGAGATCACTGCCTCCTGTCTCCTATACGTTCCTACACACAGAGATCACTGTCCCGTCTCCTATACGTTCCTACACACAGAGATCACTGTCCCCTATCTCCTATACGTTCCTACACACAGAGATCACTGCCTCCTGTCTCCTATACGTTCCTACACACAGAGATCACAGCCTCCTGTCTCCTATACGTTCCTACACACAGAGATCACTGTCCCCTGTCTCCTATACGGTCCTACACACAGAGATCACTGCCTCCTGTCTCCTATACGGTCCTACACACAGAGATCACTGTCCCCTGTCTCCTATACGTTCCTACACACAGAGATCACTGCCTCCTGTCTCCTATACGTTCCTACACACAGAGATCACCGTCCCCTGTCTCCTATACGGTCCTACACACAGAGATCACTGTCTCCTCTCTCCTATACGTACTACACACAGAGATCACTGTCCCCTCTCTCCTATACGTTCCTACACACAGAGATCACTGTCTCCTATACGTTCCTACACACAGACATCGCTGTCCCCTATACGTTCCTACACACAGAGATCACTGTCCCCTATACGTTCCTACACACAGAGATCACTGTCCCCTATACGTTCCTACACACAGAGATCACTGTCTCCTATACGTTCCTACACACAGAGATCACTGTCCCCTATACGTTCCTACACACAGAGATCACTGTCCCCTATACGTTCCTACACACAGAGATCACTGTCCCCTATACGTTCCTACACACAGAGATCACTGTCTCCTATACGTTCCTACACACAGAGATCACTGCCCCCTGTCTCCTATACGTTCCTACACACAGAGATCGCTGTCTCCTATACGTTCCTACACACAGAGATCGCCGTCCCCTATACGTTCCTACACACAGAGATCACTGTCCCCTGTCTCCTATACGTTCCTACACACAGAGATCGCTGTCCCCTATACGTTCCTGCACACAAATATCACCGTCCCCTGTCTCCTATACGTTCCTTCACACAGAGATCACTGCCTCCTGTCTCCTATACGTTCCTACACACAGAGATCACTGCCTCCTGTCTCCTATACGTTCCTACACACAGAGATCACTGTCCCCTGTCTCGTATACGTTCCTACACACAGAGATCACTGCCTCCTGTCTCCTATACGTTCCTACACACAGAGATCACTGTCCCCTGTCTCCTATACGTTCCTACACACAGAGATCACTGTCCCCTGTCTCCTATACGTTCCTACACACAGAGATCACTGCCTCCTGTCTCCTATACGTTCCTACACACAGAGATCACTGCCTCCTGTCTCCTATACGTTCCTACACACAGAGATCACTGCCTCCTGTCTCCTATACGTTCCTACACACAGAGATCACTGTCCCGTCTCCTATACGTTCCTACACACAGAGATCACTGTCCCCTATCTCCTATACGTTCCTACACACAGAGATCACTGCCTCCTGTCTCCTATACGTTCCTACACACAGAGATCACAGCCTCCTGTCTCCTATACGTTCCTACACACACAGATCACTGTCCCCTGTCTCCTATACGGTCCTACACACAGAGATCACTGCCTCCTGTCTCCTATACGGTCCTACACACAGAGATCACTGTCCCCTGTCTCCTATACGTTCCTACACACAGAGATCACTGCCTCCTGTCTCCTATACGTTCCTACACACAGAGATCACCGTCCCCTGTCTCCTATACGGTCCTACACACAGAGATCACCGTCCCCTCTCTCCTACACGTTCCAACACACAGAGATCACCGTCCCCTCTCTCCTATACGTTTATACACAAGAGATCACCGTCCCCTGTCTCCTATACGTTCATAGACAAATAGATCACTGTACCCTAATTACAACAGGACGCTCCAACTAAATCAAACACAAAATGACAACCAGCACACCCCACATAAGCAAACTCAAAATGACAACATGACACCCCACATAAGCAAACTCAAAATGACAACATGACACCCCACATAAGCAAACTCAAAATGACAACATGACACCCCACATAAGCAAACTCAAAATGACAACATGACACCCCACATAAGCAAGCACAAAATGACAACAAGACACCCCAATAAGCAAACTCAAAATCACAACATGACACCCCACATAATCATCATCATCATCATCAGGTGCCTTGCCGACTGGCGTGGGCGATCATGCCTCTCCATAATCTGCGATCTCCTGCAGCATGTATCACTTCGTGTGCCGACACACCTCCATGCCATGCAACAAGATTGTCAATCATCTTCTCTCGTTGTCTACCTCTATCTTTCCTTCCACATATCTTTCCATTGGTCACAACATGTTCTATTTTCCCTCTTCTCATAACATGGCCGAAAAATGATGACTGTCTCCTTCTGATGTCTGTGATAAGTTGTCTTTGGGCTCCCGCCTCTTTCAAAACCTCTTGGTTGCTCTTTTTGGCTGTCCAAGGTATTCTAAGCATTCTTCTGTAAAACCACATCTCCGAGGCCTCCAGGAATTGTTTGACCTGCCTACCTATTGTCCAGGATTCACAGCCATATGTTAAAACTGGATGTATGTAGCAAGCAATAATTCTTTTTCTAACTCTCAATGACAAGGATATATTGCACAAGATGTTTTTCATTTTATAAAATGCAGTTTTTGCCTGTCCTATTCTGTTTCTTATCTCAGTTATGCATCTTCCATCTGATGTTATCCATGTGCCCAGATACTTAAATTTCTGTACTTGTCCTAAAATAACACCATCAACTTTTATTACACACTTAGGAATAATTCGTTTCTTTGATACCACCATTACTTCTGTCTTCCCATTATTCAAACTAAGGCCCATTCTTCCACTTTCTAACACCACAATGTCTATCATTTCCTGTAGTTCTTTCTGACTTGTTGCTATCAAGACTGTGTCATCAGCAAAACGTAAATTATTTATATTGTGCCCACCAACCACAATTCCGGGCATACCAATTAAAGCTCTCATTATATATTCACTGTATAGTGAAAACAAATCAGGTGACAGTACACATCCTTGTCGTACGCCCCTCTTTATGCTTTGAAATGTACCTAAACAGTTGTTAATTCTTATAGCTGCTGTTTGCTGCCAATACATATTCTTTATTATTCTTAGATCTTTCCCATCAATGTTTACTTTTTCTAACAGTTTGATTACTTCTTCATGCTTCACACAGTCAAACGCTTTTGTATAGTCTATGAAGCATAAGTACAAATCAGTCTTTACTTCTATAGCTCTTTCTGACAATGTCCTTAGGATGTATATGGCATTGTTTTTACCTTTTCCTTCTACAAATCCACATTGTTCATCTCTGATTTCTGGTTTAATTTTGTTTCTTATTCTTCTCATAATTATTCTCAGTAAAATCTTACATGTGACTCATAAGACATATTGTGCGATGGTCTTCACATTTTATTGTGCCCCACATAAGCAAACACAAAATGATAACATGACACCCCACATAAGCAAACTCAAAATGACAACATGACACCCCACATAAACAAACTCAAAATGACAACATGACACCCCACATCAGCAAACACAAAATGACACCAGCACACCCCACATAGGCAAACACAAAATGACACCAGCACACTCCGACTGAAGCAAACACAAACTGATAACTGGACACTTTGACTGAAGCAAACACAAAATGACGCCAGGAAACTTTGACAAATCAAACACAAACTGATAACTGGACACTTTGACTGAAGCAAACACAAACTGATAACTGGACACTTTGACTGAAGCAAACACAAACTGATAACTGGACACTTTGACTGAAGCAAACACAAACTGATAACTGGACACTTTGACTGAAGCAAACACAAACTGACAACAGGACACTTTGACTGAAGCAAACACAAACTGACATAAGAATGTTTTATATCCAGCAGCCCTGGGCTAACGACTCGGACCTGGCCAACTACGGATTTCTGATGCAGACAGAATTTTACCAGGTAGGTTCTGAAATCGGTATCTCCATTACCTGGGTGACAAATTAGACTTCTTACCGAGAGGGTTAGGAAGTTCCCGGCCAAGAAAGGCAACCTGGGAGAAACCGCGATTATGGCTTGTGATGTTTATGAGATGGTTTTAACATAAACATGAAACAATGGTGGCGGCAATGTATTTAGAAGATGCACATAACAAAGTTAGATATGTATTTTGTTGTACACACTTATAGATATGGAAGTCATCCCTGGATCGTCTATTGGATTTCAGCATTCCTGTAAGAACGGCGAACTGCCATTTGCCTAGACTCTTGGAGCTCTGGACCATGTACTACCTTGTGTCTGCCATAACCGCATATGTCTCGTGTTTTAGGTCTGTGACAGATAAACTATCCTAAACACACTAGACCCACACTCCTACAGAGCACACAACAATCTTTCATGTACAGCACAATATAGCAGACGACAGTTTCCTCAGAAGTTGCGGGCACCCCTGTCGGAAACAAAGGCTTTGAGGGCTTTACAAATCACCCCTCATTCCCAGGCTAGCACATTCTCATGAATAATATCCGGGGACGAACCCACGCCGCACAGGCGAGAGAGTTGTCGATTTTCTGACCAAATCAGTTATGTGAGAGAATTGTTGATGTTCTGACCACATCAGGTATGCGAAAGAGTTGTCGATGTTCTGACCAGATCAGTTATGCTAGATAGTTGTCGATGTTCTGACCAGATCAGTTATGCTAGATAGTTGTCGATGTTCTGACCAGATCAGTTATGCTAGATAGTTGTCGATGTTCTGACCAGATCAGTTATGCTAGATAGTTGTCGATGTTCTGACCAGATCAGTTATGCTAGATAGTTGTCGATGTTTTGACCAGATCAGTTTAGCGAGAGTGTTGTGGATGTTCATACCAGATCAGTTAAGCTAGAGAGTTGTTGATGTTCTGACCAGATCAGCTAGGTGAGCGTGTTGTCGATGTTGATGTTATTTTGACCAGATTTGAATGTTACCATTGATGTATATAAACATGATGTGACCTGGAAGTCCGGTCTGTGAGTAAACCAGCCACTTGACCAGCTGCTAGAATTGTGATATGAACTGTTTTGCCTTGTTTGTTTCTCTCCTGAAGTTACCTCTGCACATCGAATACATTCTGGTGCGCATGACGCTGGTTGGCATCGGGTTGTCAGTGGTTGGATCGCTGCTGTCGGTATTTCTCATCTGCTACGTGCCGTAAGTTGACATCTTCACCTAATGTATTACAGTCATAATATCATGATTGCCGTTATCTGTGTGACATCACTGTTATCTGTGTGCACACCATTTTGTGACATCACTGTTATCTGTGTGCTCACCTTTTTGTGACATCACTGTTATCTGTGTACTTACCATTTTGTGACATCACCCTTATCTGTATACTCACCATTTTGTGACATCACTGTTATCTGTATACTCACCATTTTGTGACATCACTGTTATCTGTATACTCACCATTTTGTGACATCACCATTATCTGTGTGCTCACCATTTTGTAACATCACTGTTATCTGTGTACTCACCATTTTGTGACATCACTGTTATCTGTGTGCTAACCATTTTGTGACATCACTGTTATCTGTATACTCACCATTTTGTGACATCACTGTTATCTGTATACTTACCATTTTGTGACATCACTGTTATCTGTGTACTCACCATTTTGTGACATCACTGTTATCTGTGTACTTCCCATTTTGTGACAGCGCTGTTATCTGTGTACTCACCATTTTGTGACATCACTGTTATCTGTATACTTACCATTTTGTGACATCACTGTTATCTGTGTACTCACCATTTTGTGACATCACTGTCATCTTCGTGCTCACCATTTTGTGACATCACTGTTATCTGTGTACTAACCATTTTGTGACATCACTGTTATCTGCGTACTCACCATTTTGTGACATGACTGTTATCTGTGTACTCACCATTTTATGACATCACTGTTATCTGTGTATTCACCATTTTGTTACATTACAGTTATCTGCGTACTCACCATTTTGTGACATCACTGATATCCACTGTATTATGTCTGTCATTAATATCCCCAGTATCATGTTTTTCAGTAATTTCCATAGTATTATGTCTAATAATAATATGTCCCAGTATCTTGGCTATCAATGATATCCTCTAGTATCATGTATGTCATTAATTTTCCATAGTATCATGCTATCAATGACATTGTCAAAGACCTTCTTCCAGCCATCCATGCATGTGGTTCATTGGCAGTTTACTAACAGACAATCTATCCCTAAAACACACTCAGCCAAACACTTACAGGCCAAACACTTACAGGGCAAACACTTACAGGGCAAACACTTACAGGGCAAACACTTACAGGGCAAACACTTACAGGCCAAACACTTACAGGGCAAACACTTACAGGGCAAACACTTACAGGCCAAACACTTACAGGGCAAACACTTACAGGCCAAACACTTACAGGGCAAACACTTACAGGCCAAACACTTACAGGGCAAACACTTACAGGGCAAACACTTACAGGGCAAACACTTACAGGCCAAACACTTACAGGGCAAACACTTACAGGCCAAACACTTACAGGGCAAACACTTACAGGGCAAACACTTACAGGGCAAACACTTACAGGGCAAACACTTACAGGGCAAACACTTACAGGGCAAACACTTACAGGCCAAACACTTACAGGGCAAACACTTACAGGCCAAACACTTACAGGGCAAACACTTACAGGGCAAACACATCCATATTAAATGCACACAACAATAAAGACAGGTAGTCAACGCCATAAAACGGTTGTTTCCCCATTATTCTAAACGAGGTCGTGAGGACTTCAAACCCACCCTTCACTCCCCGGCCCTCCCGTTCTACAGATAATACCTAGGCCGAACCCACCATTGTTTCCGATACGAGCGTTTGCCTCCGTCACTGGACATCACACAAGCACCGTGGCACGTTTGAAGAGTGCGGGCCAGCGGGCCGATGTGTGAGGACAGATCAAGTCGTTACTTACTACACTAATCCCGCTAGCAAGTTACAGAGATAAATTACTTTACAAAGTCCTATCTCTGTCTAACACTGTACCGCACTGTAATAATACTATTGTCCAGCTAAACATATTATTACACAGACTATCGGTCGCTATGCTTCAATCGACACACACTATAATTCTAACGGAAACATATCTAACACCAGTCAAACAGTCGTAACGCCTCGACTAGAACTCTCCCCGTTCAAGTCAACACCTGTCCCATGTATAGCCCGCTTGCAGTTCAGTCAGTCAGTCCAAGATGCTCGTGATTTTGTTAGCAGCTGGTCAGCAGTCGCCTCGTCCAGTCACGACTTTGGGCAACCTCGTGTCCTGTCTCTGAACTAACAGGACATGTCTGGGTCGGTAAGTACAGAAACGGACTCTCACCATCATCTCCCAATATATCCCAACCTGCACCGGCCTCTGACAGATATCCCTGAGTATCATGTCTATCAATGATATTTCCTAGTATCATGTCTATCATTGATATCCTCTGTATCATGTCAATCAATGTTATCCTCAAGTAGCATGTCTGTCAGTGATATCCTCTGGTATAAAGTCCATCAGTTATATCCAGCAGTATCATATCTATCAATGTTATCCTCCAGTATCCGCAGTGATGGCCTGTTTGCTGTAGGAAACATGTGTGTGGCCCTCCTGGGCGCTCAGCTGGCCTTTGCAGGAGCCGAGAATGCCTTCCCACAGAAGGTGAGCAGTCAAAGTCCTACACACCTGTATACTTGCCTGTGTTCCTGTTGACCGGTGTGTGTGTGTGTGTCTGTGTGTATGTGTGAATGTGTGTATTTATATGCGCATACACGCACACGCCCAAGCGGTGTCCATGGAAACCTGTTCTGACCCCAGCGAGCGTGACTGTCTGGTGTGAACATTGCCATGTTCAAAAACTAAGCTCAGTTTGACCTTCCTGTTAGTATCGACTCGGGTTTTTCCGCATTGGTTATGCGAATGTAGTGCAAGCCCGTTGATTCGCAAATCCACTGGATGTTCGGTGACTTGAGTCAAAACCTTGAGACTGTGTTGACTTAAGACTGGAGATGTCAGTGCGTCTTGAGTCAGTACTGTGATTTTGTGTTGACTTAGAGCCGGAGTGACCAGTGGGTTCACTAGGTGTCAACTAGCTTGGGGGTCAATTGTCATAATTATTTTGAGCGCAGTTGAGCAGAGGACAGACTATAGAACGACCGAGAACACTCAAGAGACCAGTCAAGGCACCCGTCGAGAATGCAGTCAAGGAACGAGAAGTCCAGTTGGCAAAGTTGAGCCAAGGAGAACTGGGCGTTCTCTGTGATGAAAGCTTGTCTTGGGTGATAGCGCACTATTGAAACAAGACAGCAGTTCTACGTACGAGGAAGATCCTCGTAGATGTCGGCAACAGCTGTGCGCTGAGTTAGGACTCGGTCATCGCAGATTTCATCTACAAGGCTGAGGTGCTGTGTGCACATTATAGAGCTTAAGAATGATGAAGTCTCCAGTCAACCGATATGAAAGTTGCTACGAGTATAGCAACAGGGGTCAGCAGAGTAAGTATGATGCTTCGCGTTCATTATTATCTGTGCGGGTTTGTGTACCTGAATGTCCTTGTGAAATAAATCTTTCTTTATGGCGTCACGCCGTCCTTGAGTTTTCCTGGCTGTGTACAAGTTGCAACGTTGCAGTGGAAATCATATCCTCGACAATCACTTGAGCACATGTATCATATCCTAGACAATCACTTGAGCGCATGTATCACATCCTCGACAATCACTTGAGCACATATATCATATCTTCGACAATCACTTGAGCACATGTATCATATCCTCGACAATCACTTGAGCACATGTATCATATCCTCGACAATCACTTGAGCGCATGTATCACATCCTCGACAATCACTTGAGCACATATATCATATCTTCGACAATCACTTGAGCACATGTATCATATCCTCGACAATCACTTGAGCACATGTATCATATCCTAGACAATCACGTGAGCACATGTATCATATCCTCGACAGTCACTTGAGCACATGTATCATATCCTCTACAATCACTTGAGCACATATATCATATCCTAGACAATCACTTGAGCACATGTATCATATCCTAGACAATCTCTTCTTCTTTCTTCTTCTTTGCGTTCACCAGCTGTACACTCTGGTGGAAAGTTCTGGTTGCTCGTCCACTACTGAACTGCAGTCCTGCTCCAGAACCTGAGTGTTGCGTGTGCATCAGTTTTACAGATCTCATTCTATTGAAAACAGACTGTTGGTTCCTTGCCTCTCCAGCAGATGCACTCCGACTTCAAAGGAATCTCCCCAATTAGTCGACTCTTACGACATGCTTTTGGGGAGGCAGTGGGTCTATTCTTGTTTTCCCTCACAATGGGGCCCCGGAACCCACACGGGGGTCCTAGACAATCAAACCGGCACTTGTATTCTCTCTGTGCAACTGTATATGCACCTGCCTATCTGTGCACCTGTATATGTGCCTGCCTGTCTGTGCACCTGTATATGTACCTGCCTATCTGTGAACCGTATCACAGAAGCCTCCATCAGTCCAGCCTCACCACTAGCTTATCATCATCATCATGTGCGTCCACAGATCATGTGCAAGATCTCCACAGCCTCCATCCACTACCTGTTCCTGTCGGTCCACTGCTGGGCCTTGGCTTTCTTCCTCCACCTCCTGCTCAAGGTAAGCATGTCTATGTTGGGGATACTGTGTCCATGTTGGGTATATTGTGTCCATGTTGGGATATTGTGTCCATGTTGGGATACTGTGTCCATGTTGGGGATACTGTGTCCATGTTGGGATATTGCGTCCATGTTGGGGATATTGTGTCCATGTTGGGGATACTGTGTCCATGTTGGGATATTGTGTCCATGTTGGGGATATTGTGTCCATGTTGGGTATATTGTGTCCATGTTTGGATATTGTGTCCATGTTGGGATACTGTGTCCATGTTGGGGATACTGTGTCCATGTTGGGATATTGTGTCCATGTTGGGATACTGTGTCCATGTTGGGGATATTGTGTCCACGTTGGGGATATTGTGTCCATGTTGGGATACTGTGTCCGTTTTAGGGATATTGTGTCCATGTTGGGGATATTGTGTCCATGTTGGGGATATTGAGTCCATGTTGGGATACTGTGTCTTTGTTGGGATACTGTGTCCATGTTGGGGATTTTGTGTCCATGTAGGGGAGATTGTGTCCATGTTGGGATACTGTGTCCATATTGGGATATTGTGTCTATGTTGGGATATTGTGTCCATGTTGGGGATATTGTGTCCATGTTGGGGATATTGTGTCCATGTTGGGGATACTGTGTCCATGCTGGGGATACTGTGTCCATGTTGGGATATTGTGTCCATCTCAAGATATTGTGCTCATGTTGTTGATATTGTGTCCGTATTGAGAATGTTGTGTTCATGTTATTGATACTGTGATCATGCTGGGGATATTGTATCTATGTCTCAAATGAATTTACGGAACTGTTTCGGAAAGTAAAACTGGCTGTGATACCGACTAGACTGTCCTGGAGTACCTATTAATTCTACGAAAAGATGGCGTTAGCCTCATGTAGCCTATAGATGTGTTGCCGGACTGAGTCTATGTTGTTGTTGTTGCTATCGATCCAGCGGCGCATGAGCTTTCGCCCTTTGGCCCAATGCCATGTAGTAAAATTTACATGTTTTCACAAGCTGTTCTTTTTCTCCGTACAAGGTGTTTCACCTGTCTGGTCTCGGAGGGAGTAGCGTTCTTCTAGTCTCGTTGAGTTTTGGGCACTCAAAGAGATGGTGTTCAACAGTTTCGTAGGGGTAGTTACATAGCTGGCACTCTGGGTAGTGTTGTGGCGGTATTCTGTTTAGGTGTCCACTGAGTGGAGTATGTTGTGTTCTGAGTCTAAAGATGGTGGCCTTGTACCTTCTTGGTAAATAGTTAATGCTGTCGTTAGGATCAGGGCTAGTCATGTGTCTATAAACCTCTCTTTCAGTATCTCCCATGGCCCATCTGTTCAGCCAAGTCTCTTTGTTTATAGCTTTTATAAGTGTTTTTGCTTTTTGCAGGGTTGTCGCTGTAGGTGGTTGTTCTTGTGTTGCTCCTTTCTTTGCCAATCTGTCAGCTCTGTCATTACCTGGTGTGCCGAAGTGGCCTGGAATCCACTGCATCACTATTCTAATGTTGTATGAAGTAATGAGCTGATCAGCATCTAGAATTATCTTCGTTTGTGTCTGTGTGTGTCCCCGTATGTGTTTGTCTTCATATTTGCCTGTGTATGTTTATATGTTTTGTATGCGGGTGTGTCTATGAGGCTGTATGTATGTATCTCTGTGTGTGGGTGTCTGTATGTCTGTCTGCGTGACTGTATGTGTTAGCATGTGTCTGACTGTCTGTGCATGTCTATGTGTGTTTCTCTGTGTGTGTTGTGTGTTCCCCTTTTGTTGTCTGTATGTGTCTGCATGTCAGAGTATATGTCTGTGCGTGCTGAATATATGTGTCTGCGTGTGTATTTGTATGTGTTTGTATGTGTATGCATTTCTGCGTGTTTGTCTCTGTGGGTGTCAGTATGTGTTTGTCTGCCTGTTTGTCTGTATTTGTGTGTGTGTGTGTTTGACTGCGTGTGTGTCTATGTGGCTGTATGTATGTGTCTGCATGTTTGTCTGCGCATGTGTGGTGTGTGTGTCAATGTGTGAACACGAATGTAAATATATGTGCTGTGTGTTTCCATGTGTGTGTTTATAGGTAAGTGTCTGTGTGTGTGTCTGTATTTTTGTCTGAGTGTTTGTGTCTCTGTGGGAGTGTCTGTGTGTGTCTCCATGCATGACTGGATTTATGACTGTGTGTGTGTATGCCTGTATTACGTATGTATGTATGAATGTATGTATGTATGTATGCCTGTGCGTTTGTATCTATGTATGTATGTTTGTGTGTACGTATGCCTGTGTGTATGTGTGTATGCATGTTTGTTTATATGTATCTGTGTATGTATGTATGTAATGTATGCATGCATGTTTGTGTGTGTAAGTGATTGGGTGAGCGTGTGTATGCGGGTGTATGTATGCAAGCGCGGGTTTTTGCATGCACTTTACAACTCATGCTTTTGTGTTCTTTTATAATATTCATAATATGCATAACATCATATGATCATAACATGCTTTATTAGTAAAATACAACTGCTGTGCGAAAGATGGTTGTCTGGAAGGGCCGAATGTAAGACAGGCCTGCGTGCCCAATTTGTGACCCTTTGAAAATAAAGTTCGTTCGTTAGCTATGTCAGTTCTGCAGCGTTCACTGCCCTCCAGAGCTTGAAGGGCAGACATTGAATCTGTGAAGATGACAATATTTTGGACCTTTGAGGGGTAAACATCCATTACAGTCTTTAGGTGGTATACTGCTGTTTCCAGTGCGATTATTTCAGCTTCATAGTTTGAACAGAATTCCCCGCATGCATCAAAAATCTCTTCAACAGATCCATCAGGGTAACTTATGTAAATTCCGTAACCTGCTTTAATGGTGGCTTTGAATGCAGATCCATCAGTATAAACACGTATCCATTCTTCGGGGTAAGAATAAATAGTCTTTAGTGATGAGTTCCTAAGGGTGATTGGATCGGACTGTTTAGTTTCTTCGTCTACCAATTTCAACCTGACTTCTGGAGCTTTAAAGCGAGCATGTGGTGTAAGTTTCTTGCAACATTCTGAGTGCCCTGACGTCTTTCTGGAAGGTGATATCTGTCTTGTACCTCATGTACACAGAGTAAAACCGATTTGTGCTTTATTATTTGTTTGTATTTCCAAATTTCTATAAGGTGTCTATTAGGATGGTTACGATTCTTTCTAATACATCTGACTGAGTCTATGAAAACATGTCGTTAGCCTCATATAGTCGTCACGCCTAAAGATGTGTTGCCGGACTGAGTCTATGAAAAGATGTCGTTAGCCTCATATAGTCGTCACGCCTAAAAATGTGTTGCTGGACTGAGTCTATGAAAAGATGTCGTAAACCTTATATAGACGTCACGCCTAAAGATGTGTTGCCAGACTGAGTCTATGAAAAGATGTCGTAAACCTTATATAGACGTCACGCCTAAAGATATGTTGCCGGACTGAGTCTATGAAAAGATGTCGTTAGCCTCATATAGTCGTCACGCCTAAAGATGTGTTGCCGGACTGAGACTATGAAAAGATGTCGTTAGCCTCATATAGTCGTCACGCCTAAAGATGTGTTGCCGGACTGAGACTATGAAAAGATGGCGTTAGCCTCATACGGTCGTCACGCTTAAAGATGTGTTGCCGGACTGAGTCTATGAAAAGATGTCGTTAGCCTCATATAGTCGTCACGCCTAAAGATGTGTTGCCGGACTGAGTCTATGAAAAGATGTCGTTAGCCTCATATAGTCGTCACGCCTAAAGATGTGTTGCCGGACTGAGTCTATGAAAAGATGTCGTTAGCCTCATATAGTCGTCACGCCTAAAGATGTGTTGCCGGACTGAGACTATGAAAAGATGGCGTTAGCCTCATACGGTCGTCACGCTTAAAGATGTGTTGCCGGACTGAGTCTATGAAAAGATGTCGTTAGCCTCATATAGTCGTCACACCTAAAGATGTGTTGCCGGACTGAGTCTATGAAAAGATGTCGTTAGCCTCATATAGTCGTCACGCCTAAAGATGTGTTGCCGGACTGAGACTATGAAAAGATGTCGTTAGCCTCATATAGTCGTCACGCCTAAAGATGTGTTGCCGGACTGAGACTATGAAAAGATGTCGTTAGCCTCATATAGTCGTCAGGCCTAAAGATGTGTTGCCGGACTGAGACTATGAAAAGATGTCGTTAGCCTCATATAGTCGTCACGCCTAAAGATGTGTTGCCGGACTGAGACTATGAAAAGATGTCGTTAGCCTCATATAGTCGTCACGCCTAAAGATGTGTTGCCGGACTGAGACTATGAAAAGATGTCGTTAGCCTCATATAGTCGTCAGGCCTAAAGATGTGTTGCCGGACTGAGTCTATGAAAAGATGGCGTCAGCCTCATATAGTCGTCACGCCTAAAGATGTGTTGCCGGACTGAGACTAACTTTGATCTGTTTGCAGCTGACGCGCCTGCTCCACGGCAAGCGGGCCAAGAGAAGGTTCGTCCTGGTCAGCATCGGCTGGGTGGTTCCCATGGTGATCGTGGCAACAACAGCCGTTCTTGTGGGTGACAAATATGGCGATGAGAAACTGTAAGTCTCTCGTGTCCTTGACACTGTTGTCTGATCTTGAGTGTCCCTACTCTCCCAATTGTCTGATGCTGAATGCCTCAGCTCTCCTAATTGTCTGGTGTTGAATGTCTCAGCTCTCCCAATTGTCTGGTGTTGAATGTCTCAGCTCTCCCAATTGTCTGATCTTGAGTGTCCCAGCTCTCCCAATTGTCTGGTATTGAGTGTATGCCCCACCTCTCCCAGTTGTCTGGTGTTGAATGTCCCAGCTCTCCCAATTGTCTGATCTTGAGTGTCCCAGCTCTCCCAGTTGTCTGGTATTGAGTGTCCCAGCTCTCCCAATTGTCTGATCTTGAGTGTCCCAGCTCTCCCAATTGTCTGGTATTGAGTGTATGCCCCAACTCTCCCAGTTGTCTGGTGTTGAGTGTCCCAGCTCTCCCAGTTGTCTGTGGTTGAATGGCCTAGCTCTCCCAGTTGTCTGGTGTTGAATGTCCCAGCTCTCCCATTTGTCTGATGTTGAATGTCCACGCTCCCCTAGCTGTCTGATGTTGCAAGTTGTTTCAACACAGGTAAGTAAAGTACAGGACCCTCGAGCATACAGGGCTAGACCTATATTTAATAGACCAATCGGCACTGTATGGGTGATGTCGTCAGCATCAGACGGACAGCCTTTATTTCCAATTACTTTACCTGGTCACCATTTCAAGCTGGGTCACTTGTGCAGTAGTAAAGAAAATACAAATTAGTACTGTTATTATTGCGTATTTAAACAAGGCTGAAGCCTTTTGAGTTCCCCTCAAAGTATCCGATAATGTGTGTAGCTTTCTGTGTCCTTGTTGCCGCAGTTCCTCTTGGACATTGTGCGCTGTTTCTGTAGGTAATTTCATGGGAGGGGGAGGGAGCGGAGAGCGAGATGAGAGAGGGCGAAGGAGGTGACAGAATGTGTAAATTGCAATTGTTGAAAAGTATGTATTTTTGCCATGGGACAAACAAAGTGCTGGCCACGCTGAAAATGTATGTGAGTATGTGTTTGTGAGAGAGGGAGGGAGGGAGGAGAGAGGAAGATAAGGAGCGGGAGAGAGAAAGATCAGGAGGGAGAAAGAAAGGGAGATGAGGAGGGAGAGAGCTTGATGAGGAGGAAAGAGTTGGGGTGTAAATTACATGATACAATGAAATGCCTGAAAGACCGGGACCGACTGATATGTGACATGATTCTCCTTCAGGTGCTGATGTTTTTATACTTTACTATATACTTTACTATATACTTTACTATATACTTTACTATATACTTTACTATATACTTTACTATATACTTTACTATATACTTTACTATATACTTTACTATATACTTTACTATATACTTTACCATATATTTTACTATATACTTTACCATATATTTTACTACATACTTTACTATATATTTTACTACATACTTTACTATATACTTTACCATATATTTTACTACATACTTTACTATATATTTTACTACATACTTTACTATATACTTTACTACATACTTTACTACATACTTTACTACAAACTTTACTATATACTTTGCTATATTTTTACTATTTACTTTAATATATACTTTACTATATAATTTACTATTTACTTTACTATATATTTTAATATATACTTTTCTTGATATACTTGTTTGGTTTGATATCTTTTCTGTAAATCTTTCCTTCAGGTGCTGGTTGAGCCCAGACAATGGATCCCATTGGGCCTTTGTTGGCCCTGTCTGCTTCGCCTGTGCTGTAAGTTCTTCTTCTTGTTCCACAGTAATCAATAATCAAAGGTTTTATGTTATGTTGTCACAATCGACGTCTTCGCATGCAAGGAATTCCCATGCCTGCTCAGTGCTCTGATGCAGCAACTACTCCTAGGTATATCTGCTGAATGTTCCCATGAGAAGTTGCAAAGCCTCTCTCGTGTGGTGTCTTTAGCTTCCCTCCCAATTGGTTTCAAGTGTTCAATGAGGTTATCTTTTCTTTCTTTCATAGTGGTGGCTTCTATCGTGTCCCAGTACTCCTCACTAGCTGTAATCGTTAATACTGCTACAAGAGATGTAGTTAATACTGCTGCTAGAGATGTAGTTAATACTGCTGCTAGAGTTGTAGTCGTTAATACTGCTGCTAGAGTTGTAGTCGTTAATACTGCTGCTAGAGTTGTAGTCGTTAATACTGCTGCTAGAGATGTAGTCGTTAATACTGCCGCTAGAGTTGTAGTCGTTAATACTGCTGCTAGAGTTGTAGTCGTTAATACTGCTGCTAGAGTTGTAGTCGTTAATACTGCTGCTAGAGATGTAGTCGTTAATACTGCTGCTAGAGTTGTAGTCGTTAATACTGCTGCTAGAGATGTTGTCGGTAATACTGCTGCTAGAGATGTAGTCGTTAATACTGCTGCTAGAGATGTTGTCGGTAATACTGCTGCTAGAGTTGTAGTCGTTAATACTGCTGCTAGAGATGTAGTCGTTAATACTGCTGCTAGAGATGTAGTCGTTAATACTGCTGCTAGAGATGTTGTCGTTAATACTGCTACAAGAGCTGTAGTTAATACTGCTGCTAGAGTTGCAGACGTTAATACTGCTGCTAGAGAGGTAGTCGTTAATACAGCTGCTAGAGATGTTGTCGTTAATACTGCTGCTAGAGTTTTAGTCGTTAATACTGCTGCTAGAGATGTCGTTTCTGATAATACTGCTGCTGCTTTCGCTGCTAGTGCTATTAATTTTCATACAATTGCTTCCACTGTCGCTACTAGTGCTACAGCTCTGATGCTACTGCTACCACTGTCGCTACTAGTGCTACGGCTCTGATGCTACTGCTACCACTGTCGCTACTAGTGCTACATCTCTTTTACTATTGCTACCACTGTCGCTACTAGTGCTAACAGCTCTGATACTACTGCTACCACTGTCGCTACTAGTGTTAACAGCTCTGATACTACTGCTACCACTGTCGCTACTAGTGCTAACAGCTCTGATACTACTGCTACCACTGTCGCTACTAGTGCTACATCTCTTTTACTATTGCTACCACTGTCGCTACTAGTGCTAATAGCTCTGATACTACTGCTACCACTGTCGCTACTAGTGCTAACAGCTCTGATACTACTGCTACCACTGTCGCTACTAGTGCTACAGCTCTGATACTACTGCTACCACTGTCGCTACTAGTGCTAACAGCTCTGATACTACTGCTACCACTGTCGCTACTAGTGCTACAGCTCTGATACTACTGCTACCACTGTCGCTACTAGTGTTAACAGCTCTGATGCTACCGCTACCACTGTCGCTACTAGTGCTGACAGCTCAGATGCTACTGCTAACACTGTCGGTATTAGTGCTAAAAGCTCTGATACTACTGCTACCACTGTCGCTACTAGGGCTAAAAGCTCTTATACTACCGCTACCACTGTCGCTACTAGTGCTGACAGCTCTGATACTACTGCTACCACTGTCGCTACTAGTGCTGAAAGCTCTGATACTACTGCTAACACTGTCGCTACTAGGGCTAACAGCTCTTATACTACCGCTACCACTGTCGCTACCAGTGCTAACAGCTCTGATACTACTGCTCCCACTGTCGCTACTAGTGCTGACAGCTCTGATACTACTGCTCCCACTGTCGCTACTAGTGCTAACAGCTCTGATACTACTGCTACCACTGTCGCTACTAGTGCTGACAGCTGTGATGCTACTGCTACCACTGTCGCTACTAGTGCTGACAGCTCTGATGCTACTGCTACCACTGTCGCTACTAGTGCTGACAGCTCTGATACTACTGCTACTACTGCTACCACTGTCGCTACTAGTGCTACCATAGCTACCGATACCACTACTTCTACCGGTTCTGATGCCACGGTGTTCGCCGCAACCATTGCTCATTCTACTTGTCATGTTCATGCTGTTGCACCTCCATTATCAGACTGTTATTTGTGTTACTTATATAATACCCACGAGCAACAGCTGACGTGACAGATTTTTATACTTGTCACGTGACTATGTTTATGTTTATTACCAGGTGAACGTCACCATCCTTCTGTTGGTCATCTTGGTCCAGTTGAAGCATGACCTCAAGAAGGACGTCTCACTGACCAAACGTCTGAAGTAAGTTCTTCCATCCATGTCATATTGGATGTCCCGCCCTGCCTGTCTGTCTGTCCCTTTCTCCGTGTTTCTTCTATCTATCTATCTATCTATCTATCTATCTATCTATCTATCTATCTATCTATCTATCTATCTATCTATCTATCTATCTATCTATCTATCTATCTATCTATCTATCTATCTATCTATCTATCTATCTATCTATCTATCTATCTATCTATCTATCTATCTATCTATCTATCTATCTATCTATCTATCTATCTATCTATCTATCTATCTATCTATCTATCTATCTGTCTATCTGTCTATCTGTCTATCTGTCTATCTGTCTATCTATCTATCTGTCTATCTAACTATCTAATCTATCTAATCTATCTATCTATCTATCTATCTATCTATCTATCTATCTATCTATCTATCTATCTATCTATCTAACTATCTAATCTATCTAATCTATCTATCTATCTATCTATCTATCTATCTATCTATCTATCTATCTATCTATCTATCTATCTATCTATCTATCTATCTATCTATCTATCTATCTATCTATCTATCTATCTATCTATCTATCTATCTATCTATCTATCTATCTATCTATCTATCTATCTATCTATCTATCTATCTATCTATATCTATCTATCTATCTATATCTATCTATCTATCTATCTATCTATCTATCTATCTATCTATCTATCTATCATTCTGTTTTCACTGACTTTCAATCTGAGTTTGTTTTGAAAGCAGTGCTCGTATTTTCAGAACTGTCTCCATGTGTTGAAATGAAAAAGCCCTCGCTGGCACAAACCAGCTGGTTTCCGTGTCTTGTCTGCCTGTCTGTAGAGATGGTCTTCTTGTCTTGTCTGCCTGTCTGTAGAGATGGTCTTCTTGTCTTGTCTGCCTGTCTGTAGAGATGTTGTCCGTGTCTTGTCTGCCTGTCTGTAGAGATGGTCTGTGTGTCTTGTCTGCCTGTCTGTAGAGATCGTCTCCGTGTCTTGTCTGCCTGTATGTAGAGATGGTCTGTGTGTCTTGTCTGCCTGTCTGTAGAGATGGTCTTCTTGTCTTGTCTGCCTGTCTGTAGAGATGGTCTTCTTGTCTTGTCTACCTGTCTGTAGAGATGGTCTCCGTGTCTTGTCTGCCTGTCTGTAGAGATGGTCTCCGTGTCTTGTCTGCCTGTCTGTAGAGATCGTCTCCGTGTCTTGTCTGCCTGTCTGTAGAGATGGTCTGTGTGTCTTGTCTGCCTGTCTGTAGAGATCGTCTCCGTGTCTTGTCTGCCTGTATGTAGAGATGGTCTCCGTGTCTTGTCTGCTTGTATGTAGAGATGGTCTCCGTGTCTTGTCTGCCTGTCTGTAGAGATCGTCTCCGTGTCTTGTCTGCCTGTATGTAGAGATGGTCTTCTTGTCTTATTTCCTGTCTGTAGAGATGGTCTTCTTGTCTTGTCTACCTGTATGTAGAGATGGTCTCCGTGTCTTGTCTGCCTGTATGTAGAGATGGTCTCCGTGTCTTGTCTGCCTGTATGTAGAGATGGTCTCCGTGTCTTGTCTGCCTGTCTGTAGAGATGGTCTCCGTGTCTTGTCTGCCTGTCTGTAGAGATGGTCTCCGTGTCTTGTCTGCCTGTCTGTAGAGATGGTCTCCGTGTCTTGTCTACCTGTATGTAGAGATCGTCTCCGTGTCTTGTCTATCTGTCTGTAGAGATGGTCTCCGTGTCTTGTCTGCCTGTATGTAGAGATGGTCTCCGTGTCTTGTCTACCTGTCTGTAGAGATGGTATAGCATCAAATCGTGGAGAAACAGTTGAACCAGACATGGCCGAGACTACCAGAGACAGAAGATTGTCAACAGTCATAAGTGAGAGCACCAGAGACAGAAGATTGTCAACAGTCATAAGTAAGAGCACCAGAGACAGAAGATTGTCAACAGTCATAAGTGAGAGCACCAGAGATAGAAGATTGTCAACAGTCATAAGTGAGAGCACCAGAGACAGAAGATTGTCAACAGTCATAAGTGAGAGCACCAGAGACAGAAGATTGTCAACAGTCATAAGTGAGAGCACCAGAGACAGAAGATTGTCAACAGTCATAAGTGAGAGCACCAGAGACAGAAGATTGTCAACAGTCATAAGTGAGAGCACCAGAGATATAAATTTATCAACAGTCATAAGTGAGAGCACCAGAGATAGAAGATTGTCAACAGTCATAAGAGATTTGCCACACACAAAAACTTTATTGTAACTTCGTACTGTGACATCTGATTTGTATTTATATTTTCTTAGTTGTTGTATGACCTGGTGTCGCTGTCTGCATTACAGTCGTTGTATGACCTGGTGGTCGCTGTCTGCATCACAGTCGTTGTATGACCTGGTGTCGCTGTCTGCATTACAGTCGCTGAATGACCTGGTGGTCGCTGTCTGCATCAGTCGTTGTATGACCTGGTGGTAGCTGTCTGCATCACAGTCGTTGTATGACCTGGTGTCGCTGTCTGCATTACAGTCGTTGTATGACCTGGTGGTCGCTGTCTGCATCAGTCGTTGTATGACCTGATGGTCGCTGTCTGCATCACAGTCGTTGTATGACCTGATGGTCGCTGTCTGCATCAGTCGTTGTATGACCTGATGGTCGCTGTCTGCATCAGTCGTTGTATGACCTGATGGTCGCTGTCTGCATCAGTCGTTGTATGACCTGGTGGTCGCTGTCTGCATCAGTCGTTGTATGACCTGGTGGTCGCTGTCTGCATCAGTCGTTGTATGACCTGGTGTCGCTGTCTGAATTACAGTCGTTGTATGACCTGGTGGTCGCTGTCTGCATCAGTCGTTGTATGACCTGGTGGTCACTATCTGCATCAGTCGTTGTATGACCTGGTGGTCGCTGCCATCGATGTGGTTTCATTAGATACTGAACCTTGGGTGTGTCTTTAAATCTAGGTTGGACAAGACACAAACACAACATGTACTGACAGCACTACCAAGTTTTTCTTTCACACCCCTTCCATATTTTCTCCCATATAGGAACGCGCTGTCCACTCTGATGGTCCAGTTTCCGATCTCCAACGTCACCTGGCTTCTGGGTATAGTTCCCGCACATTATGTGGCAGTCCAGTACCTCTTCGTCTTGCTGAACGCCTCACAGGTTTGTTCATATGTGTGTCTGTCTGTACGATCACCGTCAGCCTGTCGTATATTTATCGTCGTATAGTATATAGTACTTTATGATCTAGCACAAGAAGCGGAGACAGCAGCAGCAAAAGGAAACCTCAGAGAACTCATCGAATTGACAGATGGGTTGAATATTTTGAAATACTTCTAACTATACCAGGTCCAGAGGTTCCCCCAGATAACCAGCATTTAGAAATGGAACTGGATATCAACTGTGAGATACCATCTAAAGAGGAAATTATAAAAACTATCAATCTTCTCAAGGAAGGAAAGGCGGCAGGCCCAGATGGTATCCCAGCAGAAGCCATTAGGGCCAACATAAACATATCAACAGAATTGCTACATAGATTATTCAGTAAAGTCTGGGAGACCGAAGAAATACCACCAGACTGGAGAGAAGGATATCTTGTGAAACTGCCCAAAAAAAGGTGATCTACAGGAGTGTGAAAACTATAGAGGAATTATGTTGCTGTCAGTTCCTGGAAAAATATTAAGTAGAATTATTTTGGAAAGATAAAAAGATGCTAGACTGCTAAAAAGCTAAGAGATGAGCAGGCAGGTTTTCGGCCAAACAAATCATGTACTGACCAAATAGCCACATTACGTATTATAATAATAGAGCAAAGCATTGGATTGATCTCACCACTTTACATTGGATTCACTGACTATGAAAAAGCATTTGAAAGCATTGATAGGGAATCTCTCTGGAAATTGATGGGGCACTGTGGAATCCCACAGAAAATTATTAACTTAGTAAAGGCAACATAGAAAGACATGAAATGTCAAGTTCTTCATGAGGGAAAGCTTACAGATGCATTTGAAAATAAAAACAGGTGTGCAAGTGGGATGTCTTTTGTCGCCTCTCCTATTTTTACTGGCTATAGACTGGACTATGAAAACAATAACTGCTAACACCAAGAATGGAATTCAATGGATCCCTACAAAACAGCTGGATGATCTGGACTTTGCTGATGATATTTCTCTTCTGTCACATTCACGGAATCAGATGCAAGATCAATTAAATATACTTGATGCCAGATCACAGCAGCTCGGTCTCAAAATCCATAAAAGAAAGACAAAGATGATGAAAATAAATCAGGCAAATAGTAATGTGGTTTCTCTTAATGGCACCCCACTGTAAGACGTGGAGTCGTACACCTATTTGGGCAGAAATGTAGATAAAGATGGAGGAACTGATAGAGATATTAAAATAGGAATACAAAAGGCAAGAGAAGCTTTCATAGCACTAGGGAATTTGTGGAGGTCAAACGAAATTAAAAGAAATACTAAAATTCAAGTTTTCAATTGTAAAATCAGTCATGTTGTATGAAGAGGAAACATGGCGAACAACTAAGGCAATTACTAATAAATTACATTTATTCATTAACTGACGCCTGCGCGGAATAGAGGGAATTAAATGGTATGATAGAATCACTCATGTAGAGAATTGGGGGAGAAATAAGCAAGCTCTGGTGGACCAAGAGGTGAGGAAAAGATGCTGGCGTTGGATAGTATACACACTGAGAAAAAAACGGAGAACAATATAACTAGAATGTCTTTGCATTGGAACCCACAGGGGCATAGGAATATGGGAAGGCTAAAAAAAAAAACACAGGGAGAAGGAAGCTGGAGAATGAAGTTAGAAAGATGGGGAGGACATGTGGAAAGCTGCATTCGATAGCCAAGGCGTAGAATGACTTGGCGTAAGTTGGTTGAGGGCCTATGCTCCAATGGGGGCTAGAAAGACAGAAGAAGAAGTATACAATACCTAATGTGTTTGTCAGTCTGTTTTTATCACGGTCAGCCTGTGGTATATTTATCGTCGTATAGTTTATAATACTTCATATATTTGGCTGAACGATCACGGTCAGCCTGTCGTATATTTATCGTCGTATAGTTTATAATGCTTCATATATTTGGCTGAACGATCACGGTCAGCCTGTCGTATATTTATCGTCGTATAGTTTATAATACTTCATATATTTGGCTGAACGATCACGGTCAGCCTGTCGTATATTTATCGTCGTATAGTTTATAATACTTCATATATTTGGCTGAACGATCACGGTCAGCCTGTCGTATATTTATCGTCGTATAGTTTATAATGCTTCATATATTTGGCTGAACGATCACGGTCAGCCTGTCGTATATTTACCGCCGTATAGTTTATAATACTTCATATATTTGGCTGAACGATCACGGTCAGCCTGTCGTATATTTATCGCCGTATAGTATATAATACTTTTCCTTGATGGGCGGTTCATTATGAAGAAATGAATCGGACAGTCTCTCAGTAAATGAAACCCAGAACGAGTAGACCATTGTACAGAGGTCACAGGTCACATTTGATGCTGGACATTTTCTGCGGGACTGCCCTGTAAGCGGTGACCCAGGGAGGATAGGCCGGTGAACTGAGACAACATCGGACTCCAAACTGTATTGCCGGACACAACTCAGTAGGCTGGTCGGGTCGTCAAGAGAACACGCCTAATGTTGTTATCCGTTAGAGAGAAGTAGGACAAGGAAGAGAAAGAGGCTGAAGAAAACATCGTATGGCGGTCATTAAAGGAACAGTGCACGCGAGGCCATTATAGCATAGCTTTATGTATGTGTGCAGACTCGCGGCAGTCACCTTTATACTTTCTGTTTACTGTATTCATCACGACTATCATCACCACTATCTTGCGTTATCCTTTTTGCAAGTAACAGCATCGGTTGCCTCATCTGCTTCCCCAGGGCATGTTCATCTTCGCCTGTCACATGATGTGTAGCACACAGATCCGGGGGCTGCTGAAGTCGCGCCTAGGGGCAGGTGTGGGTGTGGACGGGCCCAAGCAGAACTCCCAGAGTGACAGCACGGGCAACACACAGTCCGTGGAGATGGACATCGTCGGCGAGGGCCTCAAGACCATCTCTTCCTCCAAGAAACGTGAGCCCTAGGACAAGCAACGGCGCCCGTGTGGGCCTGCCATTAGTTGGTGTCCACGGTGCAACTTGCTTGACCGTACGGTCTACGTTTGTTAATTTACACAGTGACTGATCAGCCCGACAGTACTGATTTGTTAACGTCAACACAAAAACTAATCAGTCTGACAGAACTGATCTGTTAAGGTCAACACAAGAACTAATCAGCCTGACAGTACTGATCTGTTAATGTCAACACAAGAACTAATCAGTCTGACAGTACTGATCTGTTAATGTCAACACAAGAACTAATCAGTCTGACAGTACTGATCTGTTAATGTCAACACAAGAACCAATCAGTCTGACAGTACTGATCTGTTAAGGTCAACACAAGAACTAATCAGCCTGACAGTAGTGATCTGTTAACGTCAACACAAGAACCAATCAGTCTGACAGTACTGATCTGTTAAGGTCAACACAAGAACTAATCAGTCTGACAGTACTGATCTGTTAATGTCAACACAAGAACTAATCAGTCTGACAGTACTGATCTGTTAACGTCAACACAAGAACTAATCAGTCTGACAGAACTGATCTGTTAATGTCAACACAAGAACTAATCAGTCTGACATTACTGATCTGTTAATGTCAACACAAGAACCAATCAGTCTGACAGTACTGATCTGTTAAGGTCAACACAAGAACTAATCAGCCTGACAGTACTGATCTGTTAATGTCAACACAAGAACTGATCAGTCTGACAGTACTGATCTGTTAACGTCAACACAAGAACTAATCAGCCTGACAGTACTGATCTGTTAACGTCAACACAAAAACTAATCAGTCTGACAGAACTGATCTGTTAATGTCAACACAAGAACTAATCAGTCTGACAGTACTTCTTTGTTAACGTCAACACAGGGACTGATCAGTATGACAGTACAGCTCTGTTAACGTCAACACAAGAACTGATCAGTCTGACAGTAGTGATCTGTTAACGTCAACACAAGAACCAATCAGTCTGACAGTGCTGATCTGTTAACGTCAACACAAGAGCCAATCCGTCTGACAGTACTGATCTGTTAACGTCAACACAAGAACTAATCAGCCTGACAGTACTGATCTGTTAATGTCAACACAAGAACTGATCAGTCTGACAGTACTGATCTGTTAACGTCAACACAAGAACTAATCAGTCTGACAGTACTGATCTGTTAACATCAACACCGGAACTGATCAGTCTGACAGTACTTCTTTGTTAACATCAAGACTGGAACTGATCAGTCTGACAGTACTGATCTGTTAACGTCAACACAAGAACTAATCAGTCTGACAGTACTGATCTGTTAATGTTAACACAAGAACTAATCAGTCTGACAGTACTGATCTGTTAACGTCAAGACAGGAACTGATTAGTCTGACAGTACTGATCTGTTAACGTCAACACAAGAACTGACAGTACTGATCTGTTAACGTCAACACAAGAACTAATCAGTCTGACAGTACTGATCTGTTAACATCAACACAAGATCTAATCAGCCTGACAGTACTGATCTGTTAACATCAACACCGGAACTGATCAGTCTGACAGTACTGATCTGTTAACGTCAACACAAGAACTAATCAGTCTGACAGTACTGATCTGTTAACATCAACACAAGAACTAATCAGCCTGACAGTATTGATCTGTTAACATCAACACTGGAACTGATCAGTCTGACAGTACTGATCTGTTAACGTCAACACAAGAACTAATCAGTCTGACAGTACTGATCTGTTAACATCAACACAAGAACTAATCAGCCTGACAGTACTGATCTGTTAACATCAACACCGGAACTGATCAGTCTGACAGTACTGATCTGTTAACATCAACACAAGAACTAATCAGTCTGACAGTACTGATCTGTTAACGTCAACACAAGAACTAATCAGTCTGACAGTACTGCTCTGTTAACGTCAACACAAGAACTAATCAGCCTGACAGTAGTGATCTGTTAACGTCAACACAAGAACTAATCAGTCTGACAGTACTGCTCTGTTAACGTCAACACAAGAACTAATCAGTCTGACAGTACTGATCTGTTAACGCCAACAGAGGAACTGATCAGTCTGACAGTACTGCTCTGTTAACCTCAACACAAGAACTAATCAGTCTGACAGTACTGCTCTGTTAACGTCAACACAGGAACTGATCAGTCTGACAGTACTGATCTGTTAACGTCAACACTGTAACTGATCAAACTGACAGTAATGATCTGTTAACGTCAACGCAGGAACTGATCAGTCTGACAGTACTGCTCTCTTAACGTCAACACAGGAACTGATCAGTCTGACAGGACTGATCTGTTAACGTCAACACTGTAACTGATCAAACTGACAGTAATGATCTGTTAACGTCAACGCAGGAACTGATCAGCCTGACAGTAATGATCTGTTAACGTCAACGCAGGAACTGATCAGTCTGGCAGGAACTGATCAGTCTGACAGTACTGATCTGTTAACGTCAACACCGGAACTGATCAGTCTGACAGTACTGATCAGTAAACGTCAACACAGAAACTGATCAGTCTGACAGTACTGATCTGTTAACGTCAACACCGGAACTAATCAGCCTGACAGTACTGATCTGTTAATGTCAACACAGGAACTGATCAGTCTGACAGTACTGCTCTGTTAACGTCAACGCAGGAACTGATCAGTCTGACAGTACTGATCTGTTAACGTCAACACAGGAACTGATCAGTCTGACAGTACTGCTGTCTTAACGTCAACACAGGAACTGATCAGTCTGACAGGACTGATCTGTTAACGTCAACACTGTAACTGATCAAACTGACAGTAATGATCTGTTAACGTCAACGCAGGAACTGATCAGCCTGACAGTAATGATCTGTTAACGTCAACGCAGGAACTGATCAGTCTGGCAGGAACTGATCAGTCTGACAGTACTGATCTGTTAACGTCAACACCAGAACTGATCAGTCTGACAGTACTGATCAGTAAACGTCAACACAGAAACTGATCAGTCTGACAGTACTGATCTGTTAACGTCAACACCGGAACTGATCAGTCTGACAGTACTGATCTGTTAACGTCAACACTGTAACTGATCAAACTGACAGTAATGATCTGTTAACGTCAACACAAGAACTAATCAGCCTGACAGTACTGATCTGTTAATGTCAACACAGGAACTGATCAGTCTGACAGTACTGCTCTGTTAACGTCAACGCCGGAACTGATCAGTCTGACAGTACTGATCTGTTGACGTCAACACAGGAACTGATCAGTCTGACAGTACTGATCTGTTAACGTCAACACAGGAACAAATCAGTCTGACAGTACTGCTTTGTTAACGTCAACACAGGAACTGATCAGTCTGACAGTACTGATCTGTTAAGGTCAACACGGGGACTTGTAAACATATACATGGGGTTTGTAATCATGGGATCTGCTGTCACAAGCAAGGGGGAATGAATAAATAAACAGGTTTTGTAAATAGGGGACCAGTGAAATTGCTTAGCACAGTCAAACATGGCTTTCTTATATCGTATGATCTATTCGATACATCAAAAAATGTTGTGTACTATCTTCTGGTCTAATCAACACAATCAACAATGTGTTAGACAGGGTTGTTTTCTGCCACCTGATCTAATCAACACAATAAACAATGCGTTAGACAGGGTTGTGTTCTGCCACCTGATCTAAAGAACACATTAAATAATGTGTTAGACAGGGTAGTGTTCTGCCACCTGATCTAATCAACACAATCAACAATGTGTTAGACAGGGTTGTTTTCTGCCACCTGATCTAATCAACACAATAAACAATGCGTTAGACAGGGTTGTGTTCTGCCACCTGATCTAAAGAACACATTAAATAATGTGTTAGACAGGGTTGTGTTCTGTCACCTGATCTAAAGAACACATTAAATAATGTGTTAGACAGGGTAGTGTTCTGCCATCTGATCTAATCAACACAATCAACAATGTGTTAGACAGGGTTGTGTTCTGTCACCTGATCTAATCAACACAATCAACAATGTGTTAGACAGGGTTGTGTTCTGTCACCTGATCTAATCAACACAATCAACAATGTGTTAGACAGGGTTGTGTTCTGCCACCTGATCTAAAGAACACATTAAATAATGTGTTAGACAGGGTAGTGTTCTGCCACCTGATCTAAAGAACACAATAAATAATGTGTTAGACAGGGTAGTGTTCTGCCACCTGATCTAAAGAACACATCAAATAATGTGTTAGACAGGGTTGGGTACTATATTCTGGTCTAGTCAACTCATCAAACAAGGCGTTAGGGTTGCATACTACATTCTGGTCTAGTCAACACAATAAATAATGTGTTAGACAGATTTGTGTTCTGCCACCTGATCTGATCAACTGGTGGCAAATGTTTTAAGGACTGCTAAGTTGCGGTTTCACAGACCAACAGTGAGAACATGTTTGAAAAACAAAATAGCAGTAATGACCGTGTACTGTATCTCACTATGTTGTGAGTACATCTGGCTCAGTACCGGCACTTGTACCTAGTGAGGTCCATGAGGTAAACCAGGGCCAAATCTGTTGACTAAACTAAGGAGTCACATTTGTCAGTATCTTCTGTCACAGGAATTACATCTGTCAGTATCTTTTGTCACAGGAATTACATCTGTCAGTATCTTCTGTCACATGAATTACATATGTCAGTATCTTTTGTCAGAGGAATTACATATACCAGTATCTTTTGTCAGAAGAGTCACATCTGTTAGTATCTTTTGTCGCAGGAATTACATTTGTCAGTATCTTTTGTGACAGGAATTACATCTGTCAGTATCTTCTGTCACAGGAATTACACATGTCAGTATCTTTTATCAGAGGAGTCACATCTGTCAGTATCTTCTGTCACAGGAATTACATCTGTCAGTATCTTCTGTCACAGGAATTACATCTGTCAGTATCTTCTGTCACAGGAATGACATCTGTCAGTATCTTCTGTTATAGGAATTACATCTGTCAGTATCTTTTGTCACATGAGTT